TTCCTGGCTGTGACAAGAACGGTGCCATCCATTGGTCCTTTGGTCAGAGCCTATGCCACACTCAGCCCTGCGCAGTGTCACCAGCCAGCAGCCAGCCCCAAGAGCAGAGCTGCCATTATCACCTGACTTCTACACCTTCATGGAGGGCTTGCTGGCTGCCACATTTTCCCTGCAAGCCCCTCATAGCTTGCCACCTCTTCACCCACCCCACAGGGAGCTACTGCCGTCATCTCCACTTGAGTAATACCCAAGTGGCTCCATCTGCAGCCTCAGGAGCTGAGTAGTTTGCCCAGCTGGGAGCTCGGAGCCAGGCCCTGAGCCCAGGTTGTTGTCCCGCGTGCTGCAGCCGGCCCAGGCTCACAGCACCTTTGATAGCCCACCCCTTAACCTGCTGACTTGGCCCTGGGTGACAAGGGTGCAAAGGTGACAGCCCAGGCCAGGTTGCAGGACATCTGTGGGTCGCATCAGCTTTTTATCCCACCAGCTCTGTTCTGAGAAGCATCCAGCTGTGCTTCCCACCAGGGACCTAGTTATCGCCAGGGACAACACAGCCTCCGCCTGAATGCTGCTTCCTCCAGGAAGCCCTCGTCTGCATGTCCGCCATGAGGCCAGGGACCCGCGCCCCTCCCTGGTGCCAACTGCTTGAGGGGGGGCACCCGGTGCACGTGCGCTAGGGGAAGGCTCGGTGCAGACAGCTCTAGCGGCTTCAGCCCGCCCAAGTCCACCAGCATTTGATCACCAAAAGCCCGGAGTGTGAACATGCCCGCGGGAGACAGCCTGGCCTCTGGCAGTCCGGCTTCCCCATGCCCCTCCCCCGGTGAGAGAACAAGTCAGGACAGGGACAGGGACAGGGCGGAGAGCGGCGGCCACCACTGCAGGCTTCACGATTCACACTGCAACAGTGGGCTGGCGTTGATATTTAAAAACAGGCCTGTCTGCTCCTTCAAGACCGCCTTGCGTTGGCCCCTTGCATAATGTGGGGTGGAGAGCACCCACTCAGCCCCTCCTGTGTGCAGAGCTGGCGGCAGGAAGATGCCCAGGGCGCTCCAGAAGAGAAGGGATGAGACCCAGACTCCCCCACCCCCCAACCAGGTGGGAAGAGCTCAGAGAGGCCAGTCAGCTGGGAGTGCCTTCTAAAACACTGTCCTTGCACCGAGGGACCACCACCACCTGGGCAGGTGCTGGGCCCCTGAAGGCAGCAGGACTGAACAGGCCCTAGCCCTCACCCTGCTGAGTTTCTGGCTCAGGAATGGCCCCTCCCCCAGAGGACTGCAGGGCCCCTGGGCTCCTGGTGAGTTTGGAGTGGGGCCCTATCAGGGAGGCTGCGTCCCCTCAGCTAAGATGGCACATGGGGATCTGCATGTGCTCCACAGCAGCGAACACATATCTTCCCTCTCAGCTGTCCTTCCCACGCCAGGGAGGAAGGCAAGCGCGATCACAAGGTTACAGACGGGGACACTGAGTCCAGAAGGATTTCGCACTACTTAAGAATGACGCCAAGATCAAGCGAAGTGTCCAAGTCCGGCCCCACACCTCGCCACTTGGCAGTAGAGTGGGGGAGAGGTGAGCAAGGTTCCCACATGCTCTCCTCCCCCGGGCCCCGAGTTCTTACTGGGTGCCAACAGCCACATCTTGGTGGCCCCTCTCTTTCCATGGCTTTAAGGTCCTCCTGACGCTCTGTCATCGGCTGTCCACCCTGGTCTGCAGCCAACCCCTCCAGGCCCAGGTCCCTGGACAGGACTGGGCAGGGGGAAGCGGGACAGGCCAGTTACTGGCCCCCCGCACTCACCTCCTCAGCCACCGGCCTCCAGCCCTTTTACAGCTCTGTCCGTCGGAATTTTCTTTGCCATCGGGACATCTGCTCTGCCCAGTCCGGTCGCCACTAGCCACACACTCCACTCCGAACACACACGGAGACCTTGAAATAGGTTCCTGCACCTGGAGGACTGAACTGATTTTATTTAAGTCTAAATAGCCACACATGGCTAGTGGCCACCTGATCTGACAGCACAGCCTTAAAGCCCCTGAGCTCCGCCTGGCCCACACGCCACTGGTCTCACTGGGGAGCGGGCTGGAGAGTATGAAAATCATTTCCTCAGCCCCTAGTGGACGAATAACACTGAGTTCCGGACACCACGCTTCCCGGCTTCACGGCCCAGCCCTGCCCCACGCGTCTCGGCGGCCACGCCCCAGGAACCTGGCCCTCGGCGTCCCTGAGGGAGTGGCGATCCTGCTCTTCAAGTCTCCCCGACGTGGCCAGGTGGGAAGCTCAAAGGGCGGGGAGGCCGTCCTGCCGCCTGTCTCGGCCCGGC